TTGATTGAATTTTAACATCATTTTAATGTTATCGTGACCTATTGTTCTGCTTAATTAAGATCTGTAACGAAATTTATCATGTCTATTTCTATCAATGTAGATTAGCTTTAATCTCTATTTAATTTGTTTCTCATCTTTTTCTAATTGTTAAAAATAGAAAAGGATAAAGAGCAAATTAAATCGGGATTAAAGTTAATCCCCATTTAAAACAGATTAATTTTATATTGGCAATCAATTCTACCGACAGAATCTAAAATAAAATTTTTATATAACTCATTGTCCCAAATCTTCTTTTTTCACGTTAAACGATGAAATATATATCCATTAATTCTATTTATATTGACAAAATAGTAACTAGATAAATTAATCACCATAAATTAATCATAATTAATTTTATAATCAAAGTCATTCCGAGGCCGTGCCTCGATTATATGCAATTTCTCGACTTTAAACAAAAAGCAAAGAAGAGATTAATCTAGAATTGATAAATTTCATAGTATTTGAACAAGATTTCGAAGCGTTGTCTTCCGTTTTAGCCTATTTTATTTCTTCCCACGAATGCTACCGCCGAAGCGCAGATTCGCGACGGAAGGGCAATGTCGGCACTACGCATAATGCGGGGAATAGCACTTAATTTGCAATTCAATGGGCCGACGCCGTAGACCGTACCGATCGATATTCAAATCCAGTTCTCGTCTATCACGCGTTAATTCCACGAATCTATAAGCGCCGTGAGTGAGGACGCCTCGTGCGCTGATAATAATTTTATATAATTAATCGACTACTCATTGTTTGATGTCAAAATCTCTGCGGCTAAGAGCCGTAAAAAATTAGATACTCGATTATGAATATGAAATACTATATTTAAGCAAAAGTTATTATGACATCAAAATAGTATTATGATATCAAAATAATATTATGACATCAAAATGGCTCCTAAATGATTACTATCTAGTGAAAGATGAATGGAATCAACATCGAATCAACGTTGATTCAGTTATTTTTCACTGGGTATAGACTTAGAAGAATAGCTTATTCATTTCCTGCTCTTATTATTGCATTTGTGCTCTATAAAAGAATTGAGCATTTCTTTTCAATATTTCGATATTTTAAAGAGATAATTAGAGATATTTCAAATTATATCAGTCTTTCTAAATGATGAGTGACAACGTCAAAGGAATGCGCAATCCATTACTTATTAAGTCTATGATGATTATTATTATTACAGGCTATGCATGTAAAACAGTGTTAGTGAATCGTAAGCAATCCTTACAGAAATCTTTGAATTATTTATTTTGAGTACTAAAAGCATTGAACATATTTTGATTGTAATTAGTCGATTATTCTTAAAAATGTAATACTAGAAAATAGTAAAATTATTTGCTTTGATTAAAAGCATTGTTCTTCTGTGCTTTTAATATTCAAAGCTTCATAAAAAATGCGCAATCTATTCTTATTAAAACATTGAATAACAAATTTTGATCGTGATTTGTTAATTTTTCTTACAGAAACTTAATATTAGACAATAATTTTAATAATTAATTACTTCGAGTAATAAAGACACAGTTGTTCAGTGCTTTCAAAATAAGTAATTAATAACTTATATATATTTTAGT